TTAGTTTTTGTAAACCACATACAGAGTTGTTTAGTTTGTGATTTATCTCACTGCATTCCTTGGGCATGGTATTGAACTTAGCAAAGGAGATGCTTGGGAACCTGCAATGGCTTCAAAGCCCCTTTGCTGTTTGCAAAGGGCTTTAAGCAAGCCCCCACACTCCTATATGAACCTCCAGAGTCTCATATGACAGCAGTGGGGTCATGTAAATGTCCTTTGCAAAAGTACTTTTAAAGTATGAAATCTGCTGTTTTATTGCTGCCCTTTTGGTGTCTGTTGATGTGTGATTTTATATTGATTTAAACCCAACTTGGGACCTGATTGGTTGAATGGAGTTATATAAAGGCAATATATAAACTATTTAAATGTTTTCATTAAAAGAAACACAATGTCAAATTTATGTTGTGCATCTCGAATGAATGCCATTCAGCCCTAGGGAATGCTAGCCAACCAATGCCAGAAACACTATATCCCTGCATAGCTGCAATGATGCTACAATACGAGGAACACAGAGTTTGTGCTGAATCCTGAGGAGGGAAAAAATTCAGAAATAAAGGTCTCTTATACAGTTAACTGGGCTGAGCCCATATAGAACTAGATGCACATTTTTAGCAGCTGAAAGGATTAAAAGATCATACAACCCAAGTTTTCCCAAGTACGGCTAGGGAAAAAATGGATACTGCATGGAATAGTGTCAGGTTGCCAGGCAGGGCTTATCGTCCCCCTCTCTGTAGATAACAGCATGAAGCAAAAGTAGTCATTTGCAGCAACAGAGAGGTTTATTGAACACAGCACAAACATTCAGCATCCATTCTCACTGTGTAGGTGCTCCCAACTGAGTTCCTCCCACTTCCCTCTAGTTATTTCCATCTCCTCACCACATGATCCCTCCACCAATGAGCCTTCTGAGAGGCTACCCTTTCAGACATCCGGCTCTAGGGCTCATGGGCTGCACACTTTCTAGTGAGGGAGATTCAACCAGCTCTCTCTCTTCCCGTTCCTCTCCCCTTGGTTGCTCTTCTCCCAGCTCAGCCCAACTGTCCGTTTCCAAACTGCGTCCTTCCACAAACCATTGCTCTAGGTCAATACTATCCTCCTGCTCCAGAGGAGCTTCAGGATCAGGCCCTTGCGCAGAGGGAGAGCGGGGCTCACACCATTCTTCCTCAGAGCAATAACCTTCAGTCTGGTTCCTGACAAATAGGCAATGTAATGTCGAATTGCCATATTTATCCAGTTAAGGTTTTGTCCCAATAGCCCCTGAAGTCTTAATGCAGTCTTAATGAACTGCCCTGAGACCTCTGGGTATAGGGGGGTATATAAATTCAATTAATAATAATAATAATGCAGTCTAATCCTGCTATATGGCTAGGTTTGTACAACAGTGAGTATATCAGATTAGGACCAGGAAGACCCAGGATGAAAGCCACAGTCAGCTACACAGTTCACTGGATGACCTTGGATCAGTTAATATCTTCTGGCCCAAACTTGCTTAGTGTTGTTGCTAAAATAAAATTGGGGCGAAGTGGTGGAGAACTGTTTATGTATACCACTCTGAGCTCCATCAAAGAAAAAGGGGGAGTGTAATAAATAATATTTTTTTAATTAGCCATAGAATACAAGAGAAACAAAACAGTTCAGGGTTAAAAGTCGCAGGATCAGGTTCTATTGTCATAACCATCACTTGAGGTGGTGGTGGTGAGAATAATCTGCATAAAAGTTGTGCAGCAAAAAAATACACATACATTTAAAACTGTGCATAGTACTGACCTCTAGCGGTAGCCTACCTGTCTAAGTAAAGTTTTAATTAATTTAGGAGAACGGTGAACCTGGCGTTATAGCTATCACCCTTTCTTTAGACTAATTGGTGGGCAATCTGTTAAATTCTGACTCCAAAAGGAACATTCTCTTCCATGCCGAGCAGGCCCAAACCTGTTTTGCAAAACTTGGGCATGAACAGCACCACCTCAGATGAGTTAATAGTATCAGTAGCCACCATCAGGCAAGCCAGAAATGTTTCAATTCCATAATGTCTGCTTACCACAGCCTTCTGCAACCTGACCAAAAATGTATATTTTAGGAGCTTGTAGCTAGTAAATCTTGTGTGCGATTTTAATGATGATTAATTTGGACATAGAAAAGCTACAGATTAAAGTGTGTCAGAAATCCAATACTTCAGCCTGGAAGCATGTCCCCAGGTATTTCATATGAGGTTTCTTTAAGTGTTCTACATCATTTTACATTAAAACTCTGATCAAAAATAAACTTCATTCAGTGGTTTTTTTTAAATTTTCTTTAAAAATCTCTACTACAATAACCTTTACCCTAAGATAGTCTTTATCCGCCTGGAATGATAATTTTTAAGACATTCTGCAATGTAAACTGATGACAGAACATTCACTGAAGCAAAGAAAAATACTTCAAACAGAAGCAAAGCATTTTGCATTAAAAAGGCTTTTCAAAGAATGCAAAATGGGCATCTTCCCATTGCTTTTAGGCAGTATTTCTCAAATGGACCCACAATTCAGAAACAGCTGACTTTTCTGCAGGTGAGTAATGTCATCCCAATCTCCCAAATCAGGTTGGGACGGTGAGGCAAATGACAGGGAGATTCCCACCACAAGCGTTAAGTGGATTAATAAAGGTATTTTACTAGGGGTCATTCAACCCAACTGTGTTTTGGTTACTGGTGGAAGACCTCACTTGCTTCCTGAAACTTTGTACTGCTCTCACAGGTGTTCCATACACCTCCCACAAAGCAGCCCGCCCCACACTTTGAGAATTACTGGCGTACTGGGAAATAATGTAGGCGTTCAATATGTTACACAGTAGTATTTATGAAGTCTGTGTAACAATGAATTTAACAGATGGATGCAATAAATTACTTGTTCAATACTATTTTATTGTTTTAAAATAGGTTTCCACCCACATAAAAAGCTTTTTGTTTCAATTATGTTATACTGCAATCAAGATTAAAATCTCACAGCGCTATCAGACAGTCGAACAATTTTTTCTAACTACTCAAGGAGCACGAATGTATTACTCTCAGAACATTTCACATAGCTTGGGATGCTTTGTAGCTTCCCTCCCTCCAACTCTCCCCCCACCCCCACTTACAAATTTAGCATTTCCCATTTATTTCGCCCTGGTATCAAAACTCCAACGTATTTGCTTTAAGCTTCTGGCTTAAAGTGCCAGAATTTGTCAGGGCCCCTGAATAGATGCAGTATGCTATTGCCGCAGCTTTCTGTTTCTTTCCCTCATCTGATGAATTGAAACAAGAGAATTTCATTTGTTTGTTTTAGCAAATGCTGTATACAATCACATCAATCCAATAGAAACATCTGGACTTTTAGCGTCTATGTTAATGCATATCCCACAGAAAATAATTCCCCATTAATTTAAAAACCAGCTGCCTGCTTTTTACAGTGACAATAGAGTTGGATCGCATTCACATATGGCCTGCCTTGTGTTATACAACCCTTGATGCCCTGCCCACCCAGTGTCTTCTGCCTCTTCAGTAATCCAGTTCCTTCCCAATGATCCAGCCTCTCCAAAATAATTTTTGCTTCACTCCTGCCCTCCAGTGGTTTCCTAAAGATGCTCCTGTCCCAGTAGAATAACAATGTGGTAGATACAAACTGGGAGGTGCAAGCGCAAAGCCTTTGGGCTAGAGTGGCATAGCATCCACTGGAAAGATGCTCTAGCCACTACACTTTGTGGTTGCACCTCTGAGCCTGCTTCTCTGTCTGTCTCCTGACAGCTGGATCACTGGGAAGGAATAGCGGGAAACAAGAGGATCACTGAGCAGAAACACTGCGGCAAAAATGTGCTTCTTTTCTTTACTGCAACCATGGTATCATAGGAGGTGGGGTGGCAGAAAGAGACAGGCAGACAGTTATGGCAAATGAATGTGTGAATTAATAGAGGGGTGGGGTATGTGAAAAGAGAGGGGAAGAATTTGGGTGGCAGTGATCTTAACTTAAGAACATCACAACTCCCTACATAGACTCTCAAGATCACCACTACTCCACAGGGTTTCCTTTTTCTTACAAGATTCTTACGAGAGAAAAACAAAGAGAGAAACAATGTGGAGTAGCTATAGCCCACCTACCAGCAGCCCATGCCTCCCAAGAAATTACCTCTGAGGAAATGCAACTCTTGACAGGAAAAAAGTTGCTGACTCCTGGCCTATAACAAAAAAGTGTAATTCAGCAGAATGAAGCAAGCAAGTATGCAACTTTTGGCTGAAGGCGGAGCTGCTGGAGCAACTAAAATAACATGTGCTCACTTGCCCACCTGCCTGCCCAGGTGATCCTTCTCCTGCTGTTGTGCAGTGCACTGGAAACATTTTATTGTTTGCTGTGGAGAGGGGCAAAATTCTACTCTATTTGTCAGTAGCCAGGGGGAGGGGCGCGGGAAGAATGAATGTGCCAGAATGCCCAGTGCAATTCAGTGCTAAACGTGGGTTTTAAATTTTCTTTGACTAAGATGATTTTGATTAAGCAGCTTTATTTCCAGGGCAGAACATTGGAAAGTGGGAGCATGTTTTATTTTTATTTTTTAATGGAATGTAGGGACCTAACATACACAGTAATCATGCCAGATTAAGGCAACCCAACCCAGATTAAGGTTGGTTGAAGCCTCGGAGCTGTATTAATTTAAGCGGCGGTGCAGCAGAACATGACCCTCTAAACAGACTGATGCATCTATGTTCTGTAAAGGAATCAAAATCTCATGTCTATAATACAAGCAGGAAGTTCCCATTCGCAGACATTTGTTACCTCCTTCCATATCTTCACAACAGCCATGTAAAATAGGTTAGGCTGGACATTGGTGACTGGACTAAAGCAGGAAGTGAGCCAAAGCAATGATGAGATAAGTGCACATATTCTGAGTAATTTGTTTTGGATGGAATTCTGTGCCTACTTAAATAAAATGTGTGTAACATATTCCAGAACTATAACTTGATGGTTTTTTAGACAGAGGCTATCTATTCATACCTTTCCAAGAACTGCAGCTTGTTTGAAAATACTTTGTTTTAGATCATCTGCTTTCTTCAAATGAAAAGAATTCCTTTGACTCTGGATGACAAATACTATTTCTTTTAGTTCTGTGAATCAAAAATAAGTAATAATCGTTAAAGGAGGGGGGGAGACAGTGAGTTTCAAGGTTATTGCATATAATACTTTTTAAAATTTATTCAAATAATTAACTTGCAGAAATAAGGATCTATTGACCTTAATAAAACTTGTTGAGACAACATGAAATAAAAGCTTTCAATTTAAGGATAGTATTGTCTCATTTGTTTCTGAACCAGGCTAAAAATGTTCATTAGCTTGCCACAGAGATTTCAATTCACAAACAGTGTGGTGTGAAAAATAAGACTCGCTGTAAGTGTAAGCTGGTCACACAAATTCAATCCAATTCAAAAATTGTTTCTATATTGAGACTAAAAGCAATTACACTTTAACCTAAAGCAAACAATTTCCATCAGTCAGTCATTTCTGCCGAAGATGCATCAAGCCCCACTGAAAACAAATCTAAATTTGTCTCATAAATGCAAAAAGAGTTCACATAACATTCTCAAAATATCTGATGCTCTACTAAGCATACATAACAGAATCTACTGCAATTTCTTACAATGACCCATCTTCTCCCTGGTTCACAGCTGCCTGGTAATCACTGGTTGTTCACATAGTTTACAAGTATGTTCAATAAAATACCTTCTAATTGAAAAGTTGTCTAGTGATATATGGTTAGCTACTCTAGCTGGTTGTTTGCTCGTACTTAGTAGCAGAGATCTTAAAGTCAATGTAACTACATACGCTATTACATACAAGTTTGTACAACTACTTATGGTATCATAAACCAACGGGCATATGTACTGGGGTGTGTATAAAACTCTATTACCTAAACATAGGATTTTCTTTGCTTAGGTGTTAGGTGTGAAACCTTTTTCTCCTTAAAAAATCTATTTGTTCCTTTTCTGAAACTTGAGTGTAAAGTACACCTCCACTTTAGTTAACCCACTCCTTTCCATAATTCCTGTAGTATTGTAATACGTTGAATTACAGGTGTTCTGTAGATCTTTCCTCATTATGCTCACCACCTTATTGTAATCTTTGAAAATTTCCTAAGAACCAATGGACAAAAATACTATAGTTTGCAATACAGAAATTATAGTATTATATACTGCTTTTCAGAGCTAACTCACAAAGAAGTTTACAAAATAAAGCATAATAATGCAAAAATTAAAAGTAACAAACAACAAAAAATAGCACTTTACTAAACAGTAGCATCTGTGACTGTGATGTGTTGGTCCTTCTACAATTGAAAGAAAAACACTTTCACAGCTGTAAATACAACCTTTTTTTAACTGTTAACATACATTTGTAAAATCACAAATATGAATAAAAGAGTAAGATTACTATATACTATAGGCAATTTACTTCAAATAATTTTATATATGTTAAAGAAACAGCGTATGAGCAAACATGAATCTCAACATTTATAATTCTCACACCAGAAACAGGCTTTAGGAGGCTTTCTAGGTTACCGAATTTGGGTTTAATAAAAGCTTAAATTGCCCTCAAACTGATCTTCTAATATAATATTATATTTGAAATATCTAACATAATGTTAAATTTCAAGTATCTGTGTGCCTCTTATAGAAATCAAAGGCAATCTAGTTGATGACTTAGCAATAGTCTTTTTGAAAGCTAAGGCTCTCAGCATCCCTGCCAATTAGCCATGGTGGCTGATGCTAATGAGAGTTGCAGTCCACAACTTCTGGAGGGGACCGCGTTGGTTATTCTTGGTTATCCCATATTTGCCAAATGCCACACCTGCAATGTTTGCTGCATTTCTTAGTCATGATAGTGCTCATGCTTATGAACAAACCAGCCAGTGCCAAAATCCACTAAAAATAATCTTGAGATTAAAGGATGTTCCAAAAAGACTGATTAACTGGCAACTCTGTACAAATCATCTTGAGGGGCTGAGTAACTAAATGGATTAATTCTAGCTTATTATCATCTTCATCATGTTTAATCAGTAATCAGCTGGCAACACTATAAGCAATGCTATAATTTTTACATGATCACATTTGTAAGAGTGGCAACTAACAGTAGACTGGAGGTGAAGTTGAGAACACCCCCCCAAATAAATTAATAAAGTTTTAACTGCTGCTAGAAGAAATAGGGGAAAGAAACATGTTCAGTGCTAGAGAACATCTTATACCAAAGCCCAGGTTCAGTCCCTGCTATCAGGTAGCAGGTTATGGGAAATATTGCTGCTTGAGACCACGGACAGCTGCCTCCAGTTGGAGTAGTAGACAATACTTAGTCGGATGGGTGGGTGAGTCTGTTCTTGTATAGGACAGCTAACTTCTTATATAAAAACCCACAGCTTTAGATGACTTTAAAAGGAAAATAGGTGTGTGTGTGTGTGTGTGTGTGTGTGTATTCTATGATTAGTCACAATGGCTATATCACCATCTGAGGCACCACACCACCAGCAGCAGGACTGTATAGGCCCCCACAGATATGAGGCACCCAATATACTGCTGAACTGTGGCTCTCCACAGGCCTTCATTCAGCATTGAGCACCCAGGACAAGAGGCAATTCAAGCAAACATTGGGCAAAAAAGTCTGAGATGATCTGGAAACCGCTTTAATCTTTTTAGGCTGTAATCCTGTAATTTACCTAGGAGTAAGCCCCCTTGAACTCAGTGCAACTTATTCCTGAGTAAACATGCATGCACTGTTGAGTGACAGTGGTGTGCACGCACGTGTGTCAATTATCTTTTGATTAAAATAAATAAAAAGTGAAAGCTAATTTTCTATTTCCCCCCACTGTTTGCTCTTAACCCAACACAAGCGAAACGTTAAATGCTGAGACCTTGATATAATAACAACCAAGTATGTTGGGACCACCTTTTAAAATAACCAGGCAGGAAGGACACCCTACCCCCAATGCCACTGAGTACCAACTACTGGGGAGCAGCAACTGGAGAGAGGCTCTTGCCTTGGTGTCCTGCTTGTGGGCTGCCCAAAGCCATGTGGTTGGGAAACATGATAAAGGACTAGGTCAGGCATCTCCAACCTGAGGCCCTCCAGATGTTTTGGACTATAATTCCCATCATTCCTGACCACTGGTCCTGTTAGCTAGGGATCATGGGAGTTGTAGGCCAAAACATCTGGAGAGCCGCAAGCTGGGAGTGCCTGGACTAGGTGAACTAGTTGATCTGATCCAGGAGGGCTCAGGAGTGACAGTAGTAATGTCTACAATGGCCCAAGAACATGCTGTACAGGATAACCTGACAAAGCACGAGATATACATGATTCTGTCTAACAGACAGACTGCAGATTGAAATACTGAAAATACTTACTTACCCTTGCTTATTTTAGTCGAGTTTCCACTTCTTTCTGACGTCTGTATTAAGATAATACAAACAATATAACCATACATTAAAATAAAATGTAATGGTTTGCTTAAAACTTGCTAACTAGCCTGTCACAACCCCACTCAAATAGCTGTGCAATCTCAATAAGCCATACTAAATCCCTAAGGCAAGTATTATTATCCCTATGTTGTATGAAAAGAGCTAAACCATAAGACATATAATGGTAAGCCAGAGTAAAACAACCTATGGTTTACTGGGAATGCGCAGTTGTGCTGGTGCATGCTCTTCAAATCAAACCAGCCCCCTCCTTCCCTTGCTGCACCAGAAGGAAAGAGACCAGAGCGCTGGTTTACTGTCATGTGCAAACCAGCAAACTGTTTCTCGGCAACCATGAATGCTTGTTCGCACTTAATACTCGGACAGAATTCTGGTTTGTTTTCTCCTGGTGTGGCAAAGTGAGGAGGGGGCATGATTTGAGTGGCATGCACCAGCATCCTTCCCTGTTCCCGGTAAGCCACAGTTAGTTTAACTCTGGTTTACCATTACATGTCAACTAGGCCAGAGACCAGAATCTTGCGTAAGACCATCTAATGAGTTTCCAGCTCAGGTTAACATTAAAATTCTATACTCACATTTTTAGCTGCTACGTTATACATCCTCCAAGTAACTAAGCTTATGTAATGTAGAAATGAGTTTATATGACTTAATTTTTATTAGAAATTTAATTGCATAAACATGTTATCAGTGTTACTATTCTAAAATGTTGTTTTATAACAATTAATTTGGACTAAATACCTAATAAAAACCTATGATTACAATTAATTTGAACTAAGCACCAAATAAAAAGCCATGAAATAAAGATGACTAAAATGCACACACTTAGAAGCATCACACTCTTACAAGTAATCTCATCATTTAATGAGGATATTAATCTATGGGAAAACCCTCTATCCAAATTATATTGCAACCTAAATAAATATGAAGAAAGGTTCCTGCAGAGCCCAAAATAAAACCCAGTAAATCTAAGATATGTACATTTGTGTCAGAATATAAGCTTTGCACTTAAAAGCAAAGGGTTCACAGTCCCATCACCCAGGAAACCACGTTCTAAAAATATCTCAGCTGCTATTCAGCAGCTACCAAACAAACTGAAATGGAGTGTGTTTCTCAGGATTGTCTGTAAATTGTGTTGACAAACTGGCCGCATAGTAAAAGTAAAGAGGAAGCATTTTTCTGAATTCCACCTACAGAATCATAGCATTTGAAGAAACCCAATGGAACAACTAGTCTATGTTTCTGCCCTAAAGAAGTTACCGTATTTTTCCATGTATAAGACACCCCCATGTATAAGACAATCCCTATTTTTTTAACCCAAAATTAAGAAAATGAAACCCTAAAATAGAAGTGAAATTCTGTATGATTGGTGGCGGCAAGTTGTTGATCTTTTTGGGGCGATCACCCTCAAAGTTTCCAGCAGAAGCAGTTTGCAGCAGAAGTTTGCAGAAGCAAAGGTAGCAACTGGGGCACCACACACTCCCCCTCCGTGGCTGCTGCTGCTGTGGGGAAGCAGGCTCCCAAGCAGGATGCCAAGGAAGAGCCGGGGGAAGGCAGTGGCTGCTCTGTGTCGGGCCATGCCGTCGAGCAAACTGAGCTGAGGAAGGTGATGAGTGGGCTGGGGGCAGGGTGGGAGTTTGATAGGGGAAGGGGGGGGGGAGGAAAGAATGGCAAGGAGAGGTAGCTGAGGCAGCTCTTGGTAGCGGCGGCGGCAGCTGCTCTCGATCTGGTGGTCACACCAGCATGGGCTTCAGGAGGTGAACCAGTCATCAGCATGCAGCCCAGGGGGGAGGGGGAGAAAGGGGGAACAGCAGCAGGAGGGACCGCCTCAGCCTGCCCAAGCCAAAATCCCAGACATATGCTTAAATATTTTAAAAATTCCCCCAGATGCCCATGTTCAGTGCACAAGACGACCCCCAATTTTTTACTATTTTTTTAAAGCAAAAAACCTTCACCTTATACATGGGAAAATACAGTACATGTATACCCCAATACTCGGAGCATGATGTATGAGCCAAATCCAGTTAGTGGAGTCTCTTCTGCTGACATATTATCACCCTGCTTTCTTCTTTCACTCTGCCCCATACCCTTTCCTTTCCCTTCCCTACACTAAATCAGAAGCTCCCAACTGTGTAGGTGTATGAATAACCTCCCATGCAAACCAACACAGCAGCACTTCAGGCAAAGACTGAAGCCTCTTCTGAGACTGCAAACGCTGAAGCTTTCAGTAGAAGGTGGTGCTTGCAATAGCCAATATGCAACCTATATAGTTGTTATAACTGGGAACAAGATGTTATCAAGAAAAATGAATGGGTTATTGCACAGAGGGCGGGGGGATCTTGAAGTAAATAGACTTAATTGAATATCTGAGTGGAAATGAGAATGAGGCACCATAGGCTTCTTCTTTGTTTTGCCTTTCAATCCGAGAGGGATCAGAAACTAACTATAGAGATGTGTTTGAAAAATGCTACCCATTCAACTGACCCTGCAATACTTGTACACAAGATGTGACACAATAACATCACAGTACAATATAACTGAGGCTATAGCTTGGCAAACTTCTCTTTAAAAACTCTGATCCTTTGCTACCTCTAAATTAGAAAGGTCACCTGTCCCGCAATGGAAGCATATAAAATGAGGGTATACACGGCAGTTCACAAAACAACACATAGGACACAGTCCTCCAAGCAGAGCTCCTATACATGCCTCTTTCACTTCAAGGAGGCATATCAATATGGCATGGACAACATCTCCTCCAAAAATGCTAGCTTCCTAGAGCTGGAACACAAAATGTAGTACCTGTGACAGCTGCTCAGTCCTGTCCTTTACATCTTCTGCAGCAACGTTTAGAGCTAAAGCTGGAATATGGGAGGGAAAATGTTATCTACCTTTTTTCTCAAAGTGGTATCTCATTTTCAAATTTGACAAATTATGTCTAAACAGGATTTTTAAAAAGCAATTTAGATAATAGTATCTCTAAATGCACAGAATGCCTGTAATAATCTTATTCAACCACGAGACAATTCTGCTGTTTTCAAAAGTAGTATCATTTGCTGTAGCCTGACAATTTTACTCTCATGCATCTCTGGACAGAAAATCGTTCTTTGATGTGGAGCCAATTTATTTTGGCTTCAAGTCAAAACAAATCCTACACAGAAATAACATCTGGGCACTCCAGCACTTCAGAATAATAATAATAATAATAAATAACAACATGGTAGCACATGGGGGATCTGAATTCCTCTTTACCCTTAGGATAAAGTCTGCCATTATCAGACAAAACCTCCTTCGAATACAGGGTGAGTTCATGCTCCAGTTTTCCAGAAACAATACCAGCAGTGAGGCGCTGTTAAACTTTGAAAGAGCTGCTATTATTCCTGGGTGCTAACTGAACAGCAGCACGAGTGCCACTAATTCATCAAGGTAACGTAAAATGAATTGTCATAGTTAAAAGTAGACAGCGACAGCTCAGAAACTAGAGACTAAGCTTACACTATCTCACATGCTGAAAACAGGTTTGTAATCTCGTCACAATTAGAATAGATTGGGGGTGGTTGACAGGTGGCACAAATTTCAGTTCTAGAAAAATTACAATATTAAAGAAGGCAAATATGAAAGGCAGAAAGTGGCTTGCCTATATGTATGGAGAGAAACTCCATCACCAACAAAGATGGGAGCCCAAACTGACTCCCATCTTAGGGAGCAACAAATAGGTACCACCAATAGGGAAAATGTTCTTCAACCAGGCCTTTGGCTGATTAGTATTCCACAGCCTTTTAAATGTATATGTGAGAGTGGGGGTTATTGATTTGTTGTTTCTGTTTTAATCATTTATTTGTGCTTTTATCTTGCATTTTTATCTTATGAACTGCCCTGAGATCTTTTGATTAAGGGTGGTATATAAATCAAATAAATAATAAATGTTGGCTCGTTGAAAGATCTAAGTAGATGTAGTCTTCCCTTCACCTGCCAGATCACAAGCCAAGATCACATGCCTGGGCTACAAGTGAAGTGTGCTTGTCTTGGCTGTTTATGAGGAGTGAGTAGGTAGCCTGCCCTACTGCTCAGTCTGCTTCAGTGCAAGCCCATCCCCCCTACTGATCCTGAAGGAGGTTGTAGTTGAGAGCTCCATAGAGATGTTTGCCTCAGGGTATAGCAACTGTGAAAAAGGTGAATTCATATTGGGGATCATTAGAAAAGAAATGAAAATTAAAAATGTCAGTATCATAATCCATGGGGCAACCATGCTTGGAATACTGCACACCGTTCTAATCATCTAATTTCAAAAATGATACTGCAGAGTTGGAAAAGGTTCAGAAAAGGGCAACAAAAATGATTAAGGTGCTGGAGCAATTCATCTAGGAGGATAGGTTACAACATCTGGGGCTTTTTTGTTTACAGGAAAGCCAAGAGGAGATACAGTAAGCCTGCAACTTGTATTCACTTTACTTGTGTGATTGCAACCTTAGGTGTTTGGGGATTAAGAATTATTGGAGAGCCAGGGAAACTTATTGCTCTCCTCTCTCCATTTATTCTCCCTTCCCACTCACACACCCAGTGGGTTTTCCTCACTTACTGGGCTTTGGGAAGGGAGCAGGAGGGCTCTGGCAGTGTCCCAGAGGCCCTGTGACATCTTCCCAAAGCCCAGTAATCATGATAGTGCCTTCCTTAATAGGCCTCTGGGAAGGAAATGCAAGGGCTCTAGGAGAGTTCCAGAAGCCAGTAGGGAAGGGGCTTCCTTCTCACTTCTCCTCTGGGAAGGTCATGGGAGGGCCCTGAGACCACACCCCAGTAAGCAGCCCTAACAGAGAGATGTTTTTGCTGGTTCCTGACTTTGCCCCATTTTGCCTTTGAACACAAAACCCCTGAACAAACCCTCTAGCAGGCCCACTGCATGCTAGAGTTGTATATGATAATGCATAGTGTGAAGAAAGCAAATAGCGGAATATTTTTCTCCTTCTCTCATAATGCTAGAGCTCGGGGGTCATGAAGCTGAACGTTGGAAGATTCAGGACAGACAAAGAAAAGTACATTTTCCTCACAGCACAAACTATAGAATTCACTCCCACAAGGGACAGGCCACCAACCTGAATGACTTTAAGGATTAGACAAATTCATGGAAGATAAGGCTACTAGCCAACTGGTTGATTCTACCCCCATCCCCATAATCCAGAATTGTTTACCTGCTATGTTTGTTTCTTTCCCACCCTACTTTTAAACCACTGAATGCAATCTTCAGCCTGTATCCATGAGGAGAGCATGGCCAACAACATAATATTAACATGCACCGAGGAAAGGAGCCATCTGCTCTGAGAAGTGCTTGATTCTCCACTATATTCATCCTCAGTGTTTGGAAAGGGATTTGCATGCATACTGCAACTCACTGACTAGTAACAGTCTGAGAATTAACAGTGGTGATAGGTTGATTTTAGTGAGAACCAGTCCATGAAAGGGATGAGCTGTGTTATGCAGAAAAGCTCTTTGGGGAATTAACCATTTCAAGTTTGGCATCCTTTAAATTTATTAACATGCTAAATAAGTAGGGATCGTTTTTTAACTTCTGAAAGATCTCCACTAGGGTAAAAAGCAACTTCAGAAATGTTCTGCGTAAATTCCTGCTGTTGTGTATCAAACAATTTCAGCACTACAGGAGACAGATCAAGAGAGAAGAACAGAAATATTCAGTAAGTGTCTGCTCTTATATCCCCCCTTAGCATATTTGGCTGGTCTGGGTCCTCTTTCCATGGTAATTACAGCTGTTCCCAATATTGCTGTCCAAATGATGGATAAAGAGGCAGGAGTCAAAGTATAATGAAGAGGGTGGGCAATTAATTTAAAAAAAAGGTGTTTAGACTAGAGCCTGGGGATAACTGCTAACACTTTCCCAGCTGACTGAAAGCAAGAGAGATTAGATTGCTGGATGGAAGTTGCTAGACACAGAAAGGAGCCCACACTTGCTCTTCCTCTGCACCATAACTTATTAGGTAAAGGGCAAAGGGACCCCTGACCATTAGGTCCAGTCGTGGCTGACTCTGGGGTTGTGGCACTCATCTCGCTTTATTGGCCGAGGGAGCCGGTAATGTGGTCAGCATGACTAAGCCGCTTCTGGCGAACCAGAGCAGCGCACAGAAACGCCGTTTACCTTCCCGCTGGAGCGGTACCTATTTATCTACTTGCACTTTGACGTGCTTTCAAACTGCTAGGTTGGCAGGAGCAGGGACCGAGCAACAGGAGCTCACCCCGTCGCGGGGATTCCAACTGCCAACCTTCTGATCAGCAAGCCCTAGGCTCTGTGGTTTAACCCACAGCGTCACCCACGTCCACCATAACTTACTAGTTTCATGCTATAGCTTTTTGTAGCCATGAAGACAGGCCCAATATAAGCTTTCATACTTTATTATACATATTTAAGATATATACTATGGATAAAAATATAACTTGTGTCTCAATACAGTATGTCAATTTATCAGAAATTATCAGCATATGGTTGCTGTGCCTTTAAGCATTCTGGGAGCAAATCTATAACAGATCTGTCACAGTTTATATTATGCCTGACAAATAAGTAATTCCAAATAAAAGATTCACAGTGCTGACATCCCACATAAATCTGTCCTTTAAAATGAAGTAAAAAGCTACCTAACAGTCCCTACACACTAAAACCACCATCACTACTGGAAAAAAATGTCAATATTCATGCCTCTGAATGTCTTTGTAAATAGCTTGGGGTCACTTTTGTGAGGAAATATAACAATAACAACATCATCACCATCATCAAATGAAATAAAGATATTAGCAATTAAACAGACTAAGAGAAATCAAGGCTCTACACTTACAATAAGTAGATACCTAGCCCCAGTACACATCTCTAAAGTCAAACTTGGAAATGCATAGTTTCAAAGACCTCCTAGATGTCTCTCAACTACGTTATGGTATAACTCAGTAGGTTGCTCATTTTGGCTTTAACAAATTATACCTAAATAGAGTAAGAAAGCAGTTTAGATAATAGGGGCACAGCAACGAAACTCAGGAGATCATGCGGAAAGCCTCCATATCCTGTCAATTACCACCCAAAGACATTCGTTATACCTTAATTCTATCTACCATGAAATAATTTGAAATGCTATTTTAGAAATTAGGGGTGCAATCCTAAATACACTTACTGTTCAGAGTTATACTAAAAATAATATACTTCAGAGTTAACAAGCTTTGAATAAGGTTACAAGAGTCTTAATTGTGTTTTGAACTTAACAAATTAAACTCTTTGCACATGTAAACTGCAAGGCACCTCTACGGCCTCTATTTTCAAGGTCAACACACAAATGCTGCTTTTTACAAACCTTGTATTACTTAGAAAATAATATATTACATTGTAAAATGTATTTCAGTGCAAAACCTCTACATAAACATGGTATTCACAGTTCTTCGCCTTTTGCACGCAGGTGAGAGGCCACATAGGGAGATGTGAATTAAAATATGCAGCAGAAATGCTGCCTAGCTCATCATAACGTTTAAATATCTCATGCAAGCACAGAGTCTATAATTTATAAAATATTAATACACATGAACCCTGAAACAAATCAAGGATCACATACTAGTCTGCATAGGAGGACAACTTTTTTCCACTCCACAATACAGAAGAATCCTGTAAGAAATTATTTATAACTTCTCCCTCTCAAAGCACAATCTTATTTACATATAGAAAGCAGCGCGTATCACTTGAGTTCAGTGGGGCTTATTCCCAGGTAACTGGGTAAAAGACTGCAGCCTGCCAGGTTTGAATCACAGAATTTTAAAGTTGGAAGGGACTCAGAGTCATCTAGTCCAGGGGTCGGCAATGTTTTTGTGGCTTGGGCCGGTT